TGAGATTTCATAGCAGGACATTGTAGTGAACAAAGACAACCCAGTGGCTCAGCTCACTCCAGCAGCTCAGGATCAGGAGCTAAGAAGGAAGTTGATGGGGATGACCCTAGGATGACAGATAGCAGGTTGTGAAAGACAGAAGGACAAGGGGCAGCAAAATTAACGATGGAGGATGGTAAATAGGTGAGGTGGATAATTATTGTCAGGGCTGTGAGGGGAGAAAAGTCCCAAGATTCTGTGGTTCAAAGGAAGCCATGGGGACCGAGGAAAAACATCCCTTCTGGGTAGTGAGGGGTAGGATACAAATCAAAATTCAAGTAAACATAAACCAGAGATTGGATTGGGTCAAGAGCAAGGGCTTCCTAGGAAACGGCAAAATCTAAAGGGCCTCAGCCTTCCCCTAAAATGCTTCTTCGCTCCTCAAGACCCTTTTTGGAACATCTAGGATTTATGGAAGGCCTCTTACCTCCAGAGCATGACCATTGTGCACTGCTTCTCATGTCCTGCCATTAGGTGGGGAACCCTGCCAATCCATCAGCTCGGAGCCAAGTATATTGTGAACGCTGCATTCTTTGTCATAAACACCTCATTTTAGTGTTTATTCACCGTTCACAATTTGGTTCCAGCCAAACTTTCTGGACAGTCCATATCACTCCCATTCACCTGTTCTGTCTGCGTGTTGCCCCCAATTCGTCATTCCTCCTGCCACCTCCATGCCCACTGATTGTACAAGCCTATAATGCACGCCCTTTATAACTTTCCAAGACTTGGCTCAAGTGCTGCCTCCTACAAGGAGATCTTCAATTAATCAATCAATCCTCAAGCATTAATTAAATGCCAGGCACTGTGCTAAGATCTAAGGATACAAAGAAAGGCAAAAAACATGGATGCTGTCCTCAAGAAGCTCACATTCTAATGGAGACAACATGCAAACAACTACACATATGTATATGCATATATATATATGCACATATGTATACACATGCACATGCACACATTTATGTGTGTATGTGTATATTAATGTATACGCATACAGTAATTCCAGAAGGAAGGTGCTTACAGTTGGATGCGGAGGGAGGGGGAGGGCAGGGAGTGTTGCTCCTACAGGAGGTGAGATTTAATTTGTCTGTTCCCTCTCTCCTCAGTTATCTCATACAAATTTGTCCATATATACATGTTGTATCACCCATAGAACGTAAGCTCTTGAGGACTGAGACGGTTTTTATTTTTGCTCTTTGTATTCCTAGCATCTAGTATGGTGATTTGCACATAGTAGACTCTTTTTAAATTTTTTTTATTTTTTATTTTTAGGCAATTGGGGTTAAGTGACTTGCCCAGGATTACACAGCTAGTAAGTGTGATGTGTCTGAGGCTGCATTTGAACCCAGGTCCTCCTGACTCCAGCGCCGGTACTGTATCCACTGTGCCATCTAGCTGCCCTGCACCTAGTAGACTCTTGACAAATGTTTGTCAAGTTGAACTGAAATTCACAATTAGCAGGAGTGGGCCAGGAACCATCAGGCATGGTTCAGGTTCAAGGTGAGCCTATTCTAGCAAAGTGGATAGGGAGTGAGGAAGATTGAATTTGTTGGTAGACTCCAGGCTACTTATCACCTGAGTGATGGGGATGCAGTCTGCTGTCCTGGTTTTGAGGTTCTGGATATATCTGCAGGTGTGGAGGTCATGGGAATATAGCCAGACCTGGCTCCCAGGTCTAAGAGCCTACATTTGAAATGGCAGGTGTTGTTCATGTGTCTACTTTCCGTGTTTTTAGGGGGTGCTGCAAATTAGCCTGGATAACCTTTGGTTTCCCCAGGGAGGGAATGGCGGTGGACATTACAGTGAGCTTGGTGAGACAAGAAAAAACCAAGGACAGAAGTTAGAGATCACATTTTGGGTAAATGAATCGTTTCAATTATTATTTTAAAATTCCACAGTGGGCAGCAGGGTGCCCGAGTCAAAGATAAGTCAATAAACATTTAATAAACACGGACTACGTGCTGGTCGTTGTGCTAAGTACTGGGGATATGAAAAAAGGCATGAGAAAGTCCCTGCCTTCAAAGACCTCACAATTTAATAGAGGAAACAACCCATAAAGAAAGGTGCAGCGGGGCTGAAGGAGGTTACCTAGAGTGGGGCTTGATGAAGTCCTGCAGCCAGGGTAAGAAATACTCTGAGGTGAGAGTTTCAGAGTTGGTTTCATCTTACAGAATAATGAGATTCTGGAGATCATGAAGTCCAGGAAAGTAGCTGGGCGGGAAATGATAAGGAGGATTCCCCAGGCGCCATCCTGATGGCGGTAGATGATGGGGTACCAGAAATACCAGTCCAGGGTGCAGTTCATATATTGTCTAGTTATATGACTCTAGGTAAATCACTTAACCTCTCTGAGGCTGAGTTTTCTTGTCTGCAAAATGAAGTGTTACGTTTAGTGGGAGGTGGTAGGTAAGTAGAAATCAAACCTTTGCCAAAAGAAATGCCATGCACTCTGGAAACAGAACACCTCAAGAAATGGGACCTATTAAGTGCCTTAATCAGGGGTAGTGAGAGAGAAGAGAATGTGAACCTGGAAAATTTCCCCAAGAACAAGTGAGAAATCTTGACCATAACAGAAAATCTAGCACAGGAGAGGAAATGATCCTCTTGGGTAAGATGCCAACAAAAACCATGATGACATCTTACTGAGAGCAGCATGACAGAGGACATAGAGTGCTAGATTTGGAATAAGGAAGATGAGTTCAAATCCCAGCTCTGACGCTTAGATGTGTGACCGTGGGCAAGGCCTTGAGCCTATCTGAGCCTCAGACTACAAAATAAGGTAACTACACCCACAGTACTCGTCTCACAACATTCCTTTACAGCAAAGGATGACATAGATTGCCATGATTATCATCTGGGATGGAAGCCAGCATCGGCACTGCTCAGGGACAGAGAGGAGGCAGACAAAGATTGCAAAGATCCTGCAGGGAAGCTCGTGAAGCCCACACTCACACAACCAGTCCAAGTGGCCAAAGTCATGCCGTCATCACAGCCACCCAAAAGCCTCAGACAGCTGTGTTTAAGATTTTGAATGAGACTCCCTGACTCATAGTCGGCCTGTCCATCATGGCAGTACCTTACCAGGAGGTAGGAAACAACTTGTTCAGTTGTAGCAGTTAATCAAAGGCTGAGACGCCCCTGGGTGTGGACGTTGTTCCCATCTGGAAGGCAGAGAACTGAGCCTAAGTATGGGTGTTCCACCAGTGGGTGGACTCTAGAGTCTGGTTAAGGTGTAGTGTCAGCCTATAAAAGGGCAGATTGGGCTGACGGGCCCATCAGGTAAGCATCCGAGTTCGAAAGTATACGATGATCAGCTGGAACCTGCCTAAAAATAGGAGCCTGCAGAGCTGGCATGAACTGAGCGGCTGAATGGGATTCAGGTTCTCCCGGCTGATGCACGTAATGGTGAAGTACGGTGCTCTGCCAAGATGGCACCTCCATGCCTCACATATGGCTTTCTGAATGTGAGAAGCCCCTTTGCTTCTTCAGGCTCAACATTATCAATCACTCTAACTAACACTTGGGCACGAGCTCAAGACCTTCATCATCCTGGCTGTCCTCCTCTGGATATCTTATAACTTATCAATATCCCTCCTGAAATGTGGCACCAGGAACTGAACATAACACTTCATCTTGCGGATAAGAAAACTCAGGCTCAGAGAGGTGAAGTGATTTATCTAAGGTCACATAGCTCATAAATGTCCGAGGCAGGATGCAAACATTTCATTCTGATTCTCAAGCCCAGATCATAGTGCTACCTAACTGCCTAGGTTTTTATTCAAGTTCTCAATTTAAATATATATATATATATATATATATATATACACACATATATACACACATATATACACATACATACATACATATATACAGACATATACATACATACATGCATATATACACACATATATACATACATACACATATATACACATACATGCACATATACACACATATACATAGATACATGCATATATATACATACACACATATATATACACATACATACATATATACACACAGAGATATACATACATACATGCATATATACACACATATACATACATACGCACATATACATAGATACATGCATATATATACATATACACATATATACACATATATACACATACATACATACATATATATATACACACAGATATACATACATGCATGCATATATATACACACACACACATATATATACATACACATATATACACATACATACATACACACATATACATAGATACATGCATATATACATACATACACATATGTACACATACATACATACATACATACATATATACACATACATACATACATACATATATATAGACCCCCCTAAACCAAGATCCTCCCAGTGCCACACCCTGTCCTCTCCTCATTCACCTTCTTGCCAAAAAGGTATTCTTTGAGACTTGGGGCGCAAAGTTTAAATTTTGCTTCCCTGGAAGAGGTCACTGGATTAGAAGTAGTTAGCATCAGCTCTGTCTCTAACTAGTGATGTCACTTTGGGCATGTCTTCTCAGGGTCTCAGTTTCCCCATCTGTAAGAAGGGCAGATGGCCCAAGAAGATCTCTGAGATCCTTTGAGATCTAGGCTGCAGAGTATCAGGAAAACTTTCAGAAGATACAGTTGGTAAGTTTCCTAACAATGCCAGGATTTCATGGATCCTGGTCCTGGGCTCTTTCCACTTAGCTAAACTATTTCCCCCTTGGGATTTGGAGCTTGAGGAAAACAGAAGCAGAGCAGGCCCAAGGGAATGATTGCCCCAGACCTCATCTACTCCACCTACTCCTTTACTTCCACAATGAAAATAATGGCAGGAGAACCCAAAGCTTAGAATCATGGACTCATGCCCTATTTAAAAACACAGTTGATTTTTAACCAGCTGGGCAGGCTCTGGGATTCCTCCCCAGGACCTGCCCCTCTGTCTCTGTCTTCAACACACAAAATTAGGTTTTTCAGTCTTTTAATTTAAAACACAAAGACAATTCAATCAAGAGCCAGGATGTATATAAATGCACCCTACCTCCCATTGTCTTTGATATCACATGCAGGACAGGGAAGACAGACAACATTCACGGGCCCAAGAGGCTGAAGACATGCTAGGGGAAGGGGCCAGCCCTTTCTCCTCCCCATTCTAAAGCAACGCTTGGGGCCACAGGGTCGCTGGCTTCCATCCCTAGTCCTCTGGTCTCTATTCTGGATTCCATTAGCTTGTCGGAGGCCTGTCTTCCTGGGCTGGGATGGCAATGTTCCCCTCCTCCTTCTCCTCTAAGGCCCAGCTGAAGCTTTCCCCAACTAGCCCAGTCCTTGATCATTACTGCCTTCCTCCTGACCTCTTGCCACAGTAAGAGCATACCAGGCATACTCCAACACTGGGTTTTAGATTGCTTGGTAATGCTCTCCAGCGATTGCATAGATGTGGGTCTTGTCTCCACAGACATAGCAGGAGTCCCCTGAGAGCACGTATAGGGCCTTTTCCTGTCTCTACCATGGTCTCCCCTGGCACAGGGATGGGGCTCAGGAAAGACTTGTCAAATGAACGAAACTGAGTGAGGAAGACAGGAGAACCAGACCAGGCAAGGGACGGAAGTCATCACCTTCCCGGCTCCATTCTACATGCCAAAGAAGTAGCTTCTTCATTCATTGCCAACAAGCACCTTGACGGGCTGGGGACTCAAGGCAGGGGACTGGGACAGGCATTGCTGTTGTTCTACTATTCCATGGCTTTCAAGAGCAACTCCATCTTCATGGCCAGGTTCAAATCTCCCTTCACCTTCAGCCTCCCGCTCATATAAGCTCCGAGGGGCTTCAGTTCTCCAGAGAACAGGGCTAGCAGGTCAGCCTCGGTCATTTCCAAAACCACGTCTGGACTGCAGTCGGGCACCCCACGCCCAATCTTCCCACTCCCTGGAGGACAGGAGAGAAACAGCTGGTGTGGTTAGGAAGATTTCTAAAGGTTGGGCTACCAATGTGTCTCCTGGCTAGGAGGGCTTCAAATGGTCAGGTTAGTCCAACCATCCTGGGGAACAACAATATTTAATATATAGTGCTTTAAGATGTGCCAAGCATTTTGCCAACTCTCCATTATCCAGAGAGACACAGATAATCCAAAACAGTGGATAATCCCCAATTCCTTCCAATTTGGCCTTGCGACAACAGAGTCAGAGACACCCACATGCACCCACATATGCATCTCTCTACCACTCAGTATAGTGTCTGCTACATAGGAGGCTCTCAATATATGTTTATTCAACTGAACTGAAATTCCCAACTTCAACTCCATCTGGCCTACACTATCCTGGAAGGGCCCAGCATCTCCTGGGGCAGTGGAAGGGAAGAAGTGGCAAAGAATCCACCCCAAACCATCTCTGAAATGAATGAACCACAGAGCAGATAATCCCCAAACTGGAAAATCGAGATTCATGCAAACAAAGGAAGCCCCAGCCCTGTTGGCAAAGAGAGGAATCTGGAAGCGCTTCTCTACCTGTAGTGAGATCAATGAAGTAGGTGCTATGTGCACTGTTGGGCAGGAGGATGTTAAACTGGTAGCATGCCTGGACTTGACTGACCAAAGCCTCAGACAGAAACAGTTCCATGGCAGCCAGCAGCTCCTCCACTGTTGGCCTCTTCTTTGCACCACCATTGCTGGTACTACTTGGGTTGCTGGCAGGTGGGAGGGACCCTTCTACTTCATTCACCATCTCCATGGTGTCTGATGAGTAGAGAAGCCAGATAATGGGAGAGAAGAGTGAACAGACAGATGTATTGATTGACTGACAACCCAACCCAGAACTGCAGAACCTCAGCGCTGGAACAGACCTTAGAAACCACATAAGCCAACACTCACCTAAGGCCAACGTTGTAGTGAGGGTCAAATGAGATAATATGGTTAAAGTACTTTGCAAAGCTTAAAGTGCTATATAAATGCTAGCTATGATTATATTACCTTAGACTTTATACTCCTCATCAAACAACTTGGGGGTACTGAATAGAGAAGGGAATCTCCAAGTCAGGAAGACTAGGGTTCAAATCTAGACTATAACATTAACTGACTGTGTGACCCTGGCCAAGTCTTCTTACTTCTCAGTGCCCTAGGCAACTCTAAGACTAGACATTGCAAAGAAGTGGCCAAGCTTCATCAACAGAGAGTTCTTTATCTGAGGGTTCCCTAGATCAAGGAAATCTCCAGTTGGGTTCTTATTTCTTATTAGACCAGGGTTTCAATGTCTCCAATTTGATAAGAGGTTACCAAGCTGGATCCCACCATGTCTCCCCCATCAGAAGGATGATTCTCTAAAATAACAGACATATATCCTCTTCCCTCTCATCTATCCCCTGAGCTGATTTTTCCATTTTGAGAGGTCCATTGACCCTACCTCAGACTATCTTCCCCAGCCCCTTTACTTCCTGGCAGATCAACCCAGCATTCCACCTTTAGTATGCTCTAGTGACATTTTTTGCCAGCCCATCTTTGGGGAGAGGTCTTTCAGGGATCAAGAACCACTGGAAATTGCCCAAGGTATGAGATGAGTGGCAGAAAGTTATTGATAAATGAGACAGTTAATGAAGTCAAACTTTCTTCAAGGGCCCCAAGAACTACAGATGAAAATCTGGGAGAAGAAAGGAGGAAGAGGGAAGCAGAGCATGCCCTCAGTGACACCATCCTTAAAAGTGTAAAGATTCATAGAATTGCAGAATCTTACACTCACAAGAGTCTTTAGACATCATGGACTCCAACCTTTCTCCCAATGCAGCAATCCCTTCCAGACCTTCCCTGACTGGTGAACAACCACACCCTTGTAAAAACAGGAAGCTGACTACCTCCCAAGGCACGACTCATTGTCTAGTTGCTGCAAAGCTGGGATTTCCCCTCCCCCTTCCCAGCTGGTCCTGCCACCTTTCCTCTATCTGAGGTCATCAGCTGAGCTCCAGCCACAAAAATGTAACTGATCAGAATGGAACTGCTCCACAATGTGGCTGCTTTGCTTAGGGGTCATCCAGTTCTTCCCCTTCCAGTCTAATGTCCTAAAATGCCCCATCCTCCCTTTCTTTTTCTTTTTTTTCCTTTTTTGGCGAGGCAATGGGGTTAAGTGACTTGCCCAGGATCACAAAGCTAGTAAGCATCAAGTGTTTGAGACCGGATTTGAACTCATGTCCTCCCGCCTCCAGGGCCAGTGCTCTATCCACTGCACCACCTAGCTGCCCTTCATGCTCACTTTCTTCATATTACTTTGTCCCTTTCACTCTCTATCCTCTTAGGCCCATATCTCCTCTCCCACAGGCAGAGTTCAGGGGTGGGATGAAGAGCTTCTCCATCCATCCCCACATTTACACATCAAGGCCTTCTGATTCTACTCCAACATTGTTGGCAGGGCAGCTTGGTGTAGCAGATAGAGAGCTACACCTGGCACCAGGAGAACCGAGTTCAAATCCTATCTCTGATACTAGCAGGGTGACCATGGGAAAGTCATTTCACCTCTCTGCCCCGGTTTTCTCATCTGTAAAATGAAGGGGATTAGACTCAAGATTCCTTCCAGCTCAAGAGCTATGTTCTCTTGTATCCATACTCTCGACTAACTCTGGACCCATCGTTTCTCATTTGGACTATTAGAACAGTCTCCTAACTGAAATCACAGGCTCTTCTCTCCCCAGCTCTACTTCCACACAGCTACTACTATAATCTTCCTCCACACATGCCCGACCATCATCACCCCCTCCTCTCTTCCCTCCCCACCTTTCTACCATTATTTAAAAATCTTCCATAGGTTCCTTATTGTCCATGGAACAAAACACAACTGCCTTAGCTTGGCATTGGAGGCCTTCCACAATTTGGTTCTCAGCCACCTTTCCTGTCTCATTACACACTGCTACCCTTTTGTACTGTCCATTGCAAACTACACTGGACCATCAGCGACTTCTCAATCTCTTCTCTCCTCTCCCACCTGTGCCGAGGATGCATTCCCTCTACCTGCTGAAAGCCTTCTCTCCCTTGAAGGCCTTCCTTAAAGTTTTTCTTGGTTTTAACCCAAGTCTGGTCCGCAAGCCTTATCCCTACATCACCAATTACCTACAAGATATTTCAAACGGGATGTCCCTGGGACACCTGAAACCCAACTCAACATCTAAGACAGAAATCATCATCTTTTCCGCCCTGTCCCAAACCCTCCTCATCTTCCAAACTTCCTTATTTCTATCAAAGAAAATCAATATCCTTTCCAGCTCCCAAGTTCACAAATCTGTCATAATGCTAAGCTACTCCCTCTCCTTTTCCCTCTCCAGCCATATCCAATCAGTGGCCAAATCTCGCCCTTTCTATCCCTGTAATCTCTCTCCCATCTAAGCCCTTTCTCCACTCACTGTAACCACCTCACTTCAGACCCTCATCACCTCTCACCTACATTATTGCAACTGCCTCCTTAAATATCTCTTTGCTTTAAGATTCTCACCTCTCTGGCCCATCCCCCGCATGGCTGCTAAGGTAATTTTCCTTTGGTACAGATCAGACCACATGACTACCCTCTCAATGGACTCCAGCAGCTTCCAATTGCCTCTCAAATAAAATATAAATCCCTTTCTTTAGCTTTGGAAGCCCTGCACAAGCTGGCCCTAGCTTTCCTGCCTCATTGGCTATCCCTCCTTCTCTCACATTCAGTGACCCAGCCCACCACGGCCTCATCTCTGCCCTCCACTCACTATGGTCTATCTCCCATCTGTCTTTGCGTTGGCCAGAGCTTTGTCTAAAATGCTGCTCTCTCTTTACCTTTAGGTACAGACTTCTGCGGGAAGCCTTTTCTGATCCCGCCACCTTCCTTCTACACAACTACCTTGTATTTAATTAACTACTTGGTATATATTTGCATTTATTCCCTTTACTTTCATGCTTATGTTATTGATATGCGTACCAATATATTTATTGGAGGGGAAGTTCCCTGGGGCAGGCATTGTTTTATTCTTGCTCCTTGTGTTCCCAAACAAATACTTACTGATCTCTCTCAGACCACTAGCTGAAAACGACCACTCTCTCAAATTGCTGGCCCAAAAACACTCTGCCTGGAGCTCTTTTTTGCCCCATCACATTTTACCTTTGCCTTTTTCTTATTTATTGATAATCCCCACTCATTACAGACTATAACCTCATTTTTCATATTCACACCCCCAGCCCTTTATACACAGATAGGCACCCGAATGTTTGTGGATTGAATATATCTGAAAGCCTCTTCACTCCGGCCCATCTACCTTTCTCAGCCGCCACAGGAGTATGTCCACTGCTGCCGGCACCAAAGAAATGGAGAGCCAGCTGTTGGATGGCACTGTCCAGGCCAGGCAGGGAGGGGGCATCCTGAGGAGCCTGCAGCACGGCCTCCACCGTCAGCTCTACCCGGTCCACTTCCAGACCCCAGGACTTGGTCATGTCATTGATCTCCAGCTGGGAGGGGGGCAGGGGAGGTGGCAAGTCACGAGGGGTAGAGAGGATGGGACGGAAGAAAGGAGGACGGGGTTGGCATTGCCTGGGCTAGGGGAAGTCACTGGATAATCATGCACTGTGTATTGTTCCCAAGCACCCAATCTGCCAGCTGTGGGCTTGTTCAGTCTTCTGGCATGAAGCTAGAAGGGAATGAGCCACACAGCGATCTCCAACCTTGGAAGGACTTGCACACCCAGGTCCCATCCATCCTTGAGAAATGTCCCTTGAACCCACTAAGGTTCCTCCAAAAATGCTACTGGGCACACAGTCATTTTATTTTGATAAGAATAGATCAAATTAGTTGTGAAAATTTTGTGATTCTTCTGAAAATTTGGGAATCAGTATGGTGGAAAAAACCTTAGATTGGGAAGTCAACAAGCATTTATGAAGTAGGTACGATCTTGCTTGAAGCCAAGAGAATGGGACAATAGGGATTATCAGAGACAAAATGATCCCTAAATTAAAATCCTTAATTAAATCAATTAATCCCTAATTAAGTCATTAATAATGACTTATTCCAACTCCCAGTAAAAATATTCCCTCAAACTTATACTAGAAGTTATATTTTCCAAAGCATTTTCCTGTTCATCATCTATCTCATCATGTCTTCCCAAGAGTCTATGTGAAATAGGTGGAGTTTATTTTACCCATTTGACAGATGAGGAAACCAAGGCCACTGGGGTGTATGTATATTAGTTGGCTCAAAATCCCACAGTGACAGATTCAGGCCTTCTGACTCTTGTTTTCTTTCCATTCGTCTTGTGAGAACACATCTTCCCTCTGTTACCCTCTCTCCCTCAACAATCCCAGACCCAGGTACAGCAGTTAGATAGACAGACATAAGGGATGCTTACTAGGAGCTGATCCCCAATCTTCAGCTTTTCCATCTGGATCTCACGCAGCTGCTTCTTCAACAAGGTCTTTGTCATGGCATTCTGGGCTGTCATGCGGGTGGCTGAGTTCAGGTCCTTCACCATCATCACTGATAACACTGGATCCCAGATGCGGAATTGGACGTCAGCCCCCACAGACACCAGTGCACCGTCCTTGCAGGTCAGCTGGAAGGGAGGAGGTGGGTCAGAGATGGCCCAGAGGTCCGGTGTCTGGACCAGTTTTCAACAGAGATGAGCAGAGATTCTCCATAGGTTCTAGCTGCAGCTATATTCATTCTGGTCATTTCTTCTCCCTGACATTCTCAGACACTCCCTAGGATCACAGAGCAATGACCTACCAGGCTCACTTTGGAACACCCAAGGGGAAATGGGGGTCGTTGGTACACAAGACACAGAGACATTCACACACGCAATCATAGACACACCTAATTAATTTATTAGTAAATGCACATTTGTAATTTGGTACAAGGGGAAAGCATTGGCCCTGGCGATGGAGAGCCTAGGTTCAAATCCCATCTCTGAGCAATATGACCATGTGACCTTGGGCTAGTCACTTAAATTCCAAGAGTATCAGTTTCCTCATCTATAAAATAAGGAGTTTGGACTAGCTGCACTCTGGACTCCTTCCATGGGGTTTATCATCCTACTGAGAGCCAAGCAATGTGCAAAGTACTGGGGACATACAAAGACTCACTGACATGGAGACACTCACTCAAATGCTCACACTCACACATCTCCTCTGCCCTTCACTAACTAGGAGATGAGATTGGTGGTGGGGCCCATTCACCTTTCCCAGTGGGCTCTGAAGCCCACCCATCACCCTCACAATTGGCTATTCCAGGAAAAGAGTTGAAGGAAAAGACAGAAGCCAGTAGAACAGCTGTTGTCTATGAGATTGAAAGGAGAAACCACTTCTCCCCTCTACCTCTCTCCTCACCCCACAGAGCCAACCCCAGCTATCTCCTACCATTTTGTGGTCTCACGGCCTCATCATCCTCTGTCCTTGCTGGCTGAGGAGCTGGCTTTATTTGTGATGGGTGTCTTTTTTTTTTTGGGGGGGGCTAGTTATGAGGCTGTCTCATGCAGGAGTTTTCTCCAAAATCAAATTCAACAGTAATTGGGGCAGATGGGAGAAGGATTCATTAATCCAGAAGCTGGGCTAGCTTTTAGGGCTCAAAGAGCCTCTTAGGCTACAACTCCTGGAGTACAGAACTCACCAATTCTATCCCTTGAACATCGCTTTGACTCTACTTTCTTTTCCTTAAATATTAACAGAGTCCTTTGTGGGGGGAGAGGGAAAGAGCGAGAAACAAAAACGTTCTTCAGCTCCAGGTAAGCTAAGGAACAGAAAGGGAGCTGCTGAGGCCTGGTGGTGGCAGAAGAGAGCTCTAGAAGAGGCTGTTCCCAAATATCTCTGGGAAGCCAGGGCAAAGGCAAAAAAATGGAAAAAAGACAAAATGGAAGAAAATCAGGTCAGTTGGAGGTTGCATTTTCTCACCATTTCCCCAAGTTCCTCAAATCCATAATTTCTCCTATTATCTACTTAACAGAAGCATTCTAAATCCCCAGTTGGATTCTTCCCCATGCCCCCTACCCCATCCTTCCCTTGGGGGCTCTGCTTTATCTCTGGGTCCCAGCCGAATGCATCCTACCAGGCCCCAGCCACAGGACTGACAATTCCTGGCCTAAACCATGCCCGCCTTCCCCCATACTTCACCATTATTTTATCATCTTTCTAAGTGTGTAAGCTTTATCTCTCGTCACCCACTCCCACCCGCCCCACCAGACCATGATCTCCCTGCGGGCAGAGACCTCTTCTTTTCCTTCTGCATCTTCCATAATGTGGAGCTTGGCCTGCAGGATGTATTTACTGCAGCAGGAATGGGTGTCTGGGAACCAGGACAAACTCCCAGCAAGAGAAACCTGGCATGAGTAAGTGAACCCTTCGGCCCATCCCTATAATCTGTCCCTGCCCACTCCATGAACCCAGAAGCATGAGACAAAGTCCTCACCAATGGGACACAGGTGACACTCCTCACCTTACAGGGAGGGACATTGAATGCTCTTGTCCGCAGATCCACCCTCTGCCAAGAGTCAATGAAAGGAAGCAGCAGGACCATGCCTGGCCCCTGAGGGGCCCGAATCCGTCCCAGACGAAACACAACCATCCGCTCATAGGTAGGGACGATCTGCAAACAGTGCACATATAAGCAGATTGGAGCAAAAAGGAGGGTTAGAGCCAGGGTTGGAGGGCCCAAGATGGCCCCTCCGCCATGCAGGCCTGCCACTGACTTCTGCCAATTTCCCTGGGTCACCACACATCTCGACCCCCTCACTCTCATCTGACCACTACTGGAAATGAAGAGAAAAGATTAGCTAGTTTAAAATTTCCCATCTTCCTCCTGTATTGTCTGCCTATGAGGAGGGCAAAGTGCTTTACTCCTTTCCTACTCCAGAAGCCAGGGAAAAAACATGCCTAGGAGAAGGCAGTGAGGCCCACAGAGTTCATAACTTGCCCCTTACCACAGAGCAGCTGATGGACAACAGGACCCGGACTAGAACCCCGGCTCTCCAATGCACAATCCAGCACACGGAATTCCCTTCCTTAGTCCATCTGGTCCAGAATTTTCTAGGGTTCTTTTATGGGAAAGGCTGGTCATTCCCTAATCAGTCTTCATGAATGGTTCTGCCATTCATCATTCTATCCAAATCCTTCTAAGACTCACTTCTATTTCCCACCATCTCCTCTTGGGGGAATGGATTCCATACACCTTACCTGCTGGAAGAAGCAGGTTATCTAATTATTTTTTCTCAATTGGCCTGGCAGGAATTTCAAAGGACTCTATGCGGCCCAAGTATTTTGGGATTTGGTGATAAAGTTCAAGTTCATCTTCTCTCTATCTAGCAGAATTTTTTAGCTCTTGAATATTTAAGTATTCAAAACTCCTATATATGGAACTTGAAGGGGTACAGAATGGTTTCCTCATATCTGTGAGGTACTGTCCCCATCTTACAGACAAATCAAAGGCTCAGTTATTTAGAAAGGTGGGATTAAGGGATCACAAATTAAGAGCTGAGAGGGACCCTCAAAGCTTTCTAGTCCAATCCCTTTATTTTACAGATGAAGAAATCAGTAGCCATCAAAGTTAAGTGACTCACTCAAGGTCACACAGATGGTATGCAGCAGAGTTGGAGTTGAGGTCTTCTGATGCCAATGACAATTATTGCTTTTGTACCACACAGATCTGGGAACCAAATCTAGGTCTATGGCTCAGAGTCCAACACAATTTCTCATAGACCATGCAGCTTTCCTAGTGTTTTGTAAGCCAAAGAGCACCATCCTCATGCTCCCTTTGATGAATACAGACACCCTTCTCTGGACCTCCTATGGTTCTGTCATAATCCTTCACGAGGTATGGTGACCAGAACTATATATACACTATGGATGAACACATCCATTATAGTCCAATGTGAGCGACAGGACATGGTCTTCTGTTTTTCTCTGATCATCCTTCCTGATAATTAAGGATAAGGTCTTTGGTTAGGGCTAAAACAACCTGCAGCATCCTAGGGACAGATGATGGACTGGTGCCTTTCCTTGTTAATATGCATTGTCCAAGGTAGAACCTTTGGTTTCCAAGACTAAGCATATGTGGGGCAGACAGTGAAGGGATGCAGAGGACATGGTCAATGAACAGGGCTTCCAGACCTGGCTCGCCCCTTAAAGTGTCTCAGTCACTGCACTGCTCCAAGCCTCAGTTTCTTCATCTGGCTAACGGTGATCAGTATGCGCCTGCCATCATACGGGCATTGCAAGGAAGAAGGGGAAAAAATAAGTCAGGAAACGCCAAAGCCCACTGCAAAGGCTGGAGATGTTGGGCAGACAAGGTCCCCAGCCCCTGCCAGTTTTACCTTCAAGGCAAACCATCCAGAAATGGGGAATGTGATCATTAGTAGCAGGAACACCAGGAAACTGATGATGCCGTGGCAGATGTAGGATGGCCAGCTCTGGGGAGAGTCTGTTGGAGGATGAGACAGAGACAGAGGCTGAGTAGCCAGCAACTCACAGAGGGGCCTGACCAAAGGGTGGGGTGGGGGTGGTTGCTATGGAAGCCTCATCAGGAAAAGGACGCTGGGCTTTCCCACTCACTTCCTTCCTTCTTTAAGTTCCTCAAGGGAGGGACTGCTCCATTTTAAACTGGCAAACAGGAGGCGCTTAATAAATGCTTGTTGAATTGTTGAGGACACCACCCTCTCTCTAGACACACAGGCTGGAGAATTTCAGAGTGAACCTCAACTCCTCTGTCTCTCTCATTCTACCTTAATTCAAGCCCTCATCGATTCTCATTTGGACAATCATGGCAGCTTTCTAGTTTCTACTGTCCTCTCCATCCCTTCCCAATACAGCTGACAAAACAATCTTCTTAAAGCACAAGTCACTCCACTGACCAAGAAGATTCAGTGACTCCCTAGTTTCTCAAGGAAAAAACAAACAAATAAACGTGGCCTGACGTTTTAAACCCTTTCAGTCTGCCTCCAGCCCACCTTTCCAGATCGACTTCATGATGCCTGGTCCCCCTTCTTGGCCAGCCAAACTGGCCTGTTTGCAAGCTCAGCATTCCACTTCTCCCCTGCTGGCTTCCTGTACCAGCTGTCTCCTCTGCCTGAAAGGTGCCCCCTCCTTACCTCCATCCCGGAGAATCTCACCTTTCCTTCAAGGCTCAATTCTACATTCCATTCTCTATGGGAAATCCTTCCTAATTCTCTGAGCTACTAATCTGCTCTCCCTTCTCAAATTATCATGCATGTACATATGCTTACAGCGCTGGATGAATGAAGGAAAAACACACGTATTAAGCACTTGCTATGTGCAAAGCACCATGCTAAGGGTTGGGGCGACAAATAGAAAAGTGAGACAGTCCCTGCTCTCAAGGAACTCCCAAACTAATAGAGAGAAACAACTTAAAAGGAGAGTTTAGCTATAAGAAATAAAGAAAAGTCCAGTGACTCCCTAAGGTACCATCTTTAGCATCATCTCCATGGATAAAACCACACTGAACCATTTCATAGTGCCAGGGATTTGAGTGATTAGAACTTACTTATACTATATAAATGAGTCATATTCTCCAACCCTAGAATGCAAGTGCTATGAAAGCAGGAGCTGTTTTTTTTCCCTTTTGTCATTATATCCTTGGCCCCTTACTTGGAGCCTTGAAAACATAAGGCACTTAATCAATGCTAACTGCATTAAATTGCATTGGATCTTACATGAGTCACTTCCCTCTGTGCCTCAGTTTCCTCATCTGTAAAATGAGGAGGCTGAACTAGATGATCTCTGGCATTCAGGCTTCCTATAGAACTTGGGACCAGCCCTTGGAAACTTTCTGAGATTAATGGAATCTGTGTTCCATCCAGTCTCTGTATGTCTTTCTGGAGCTTCCCTGGTTAGCTCCTACTTTACTCTTCCCCCAGGTCTGCCTTACTCTATGAGTAAGAGAGGCAGTGAGGTGGCATTAATGGATATAGAGTCCTAGACTTGGAGCCAGGAAGACCTGCATTCAAATTCTGCCTTGGACACTTACTAGCTGCGTGACTCTTGGCAAATTATTTTACCTCTGTTTCTTCCTCTGTAAAATGGGGATAATCATGGCTACTACTTCACAGAGTTGTTGTTGGAATCTAATGGAAAAAATATAAGTAAGTTGCTTTGTAGACCTTAAAGTATTATATAAATATTTTTGTTATAATTGTTACAGACTTTCTCTCATTCCCAACTATATAATAAGTGACTCACACTCCAGAGCTTTACTTTTTGTGACAGAGTACTCATATGATAGAAAGGTTTAATCTATCCTTTTTAAAAAAATATATATTTATTACTGTAAGAAATGCTACTCTTGCATTATTTTGGCCAATACATTGTCAGACATCACTGAGACAGCTGAAGGATTGTTCAAATTCTCAGGGCCAAAGAGTGAATAAATATCCACACCACTCATCACGTTGACCACATCACTAGAACATGAAGCAGGACCAGCTAATGACTTGGTTCAATATTCTATGAACTACAATAAGATCTCTGACCAGACTCAGGAAAATAAGATGATAATCTCATCCCAATCTTTTGTCACTCCACCCCTCTCTCTGCTTTGCTGCCCCAAACCCTGTTCTTCATCCTCACTGCGACCTCCAATACCTCTTGGTTCTTTCCTAGGCTATGACCCCATTCATTGACTACACTCTCCTCCCTTTTCCCATCCTGAGCCTCTGGTGAACCAATTCAACTCTACACTCTCCTTTTCTCTGAAGGCCCTTGCCTCCTTATTTTATTGAAGATGTTGCCCTGCCAAGCCTCACCCTTGGATTATTCCCATCATCTGCTGCCTTTCCTCTAGTTTACATGAATGAAGCTGGAGAGACATCAAAAAAACCAACTAGTCTACCAGCCCCAGTAAAAATTTATGTTTCATCCTCTCAACTGGGCCCTCACTTAGGCATGGCAATCCTTTCACATCTCTCTAATCAATTCACTATGCTGCTTACCAAAGTGCCTCTTCTAAATCCTTCCAATTCTCAAACCTCCCGTGGCTCACCCTCCCACCATCCTCTCAGCTGAGAACCTTGCCTCACATTTCACTGGGGAAAAAACTGAGGACATTTGCCAAGAAGTCTCTCCTTTTCCTTCCTCCTCATCTCACATCACTTAAACACCTTCTGCCTCTATCTCTTCCTTCATCCCGACTCATGGGAAAAGGTGACCTTTCTTCTTGCCGAGGCAATTCCCTCTACATGCACAAATCATCCCATTCTATCCCATCTTCTCCAGTAGATCACCTCCTCAATCATCCCCAATCTTTTTAGTCTTCAATTTCTACCTTCTGGCTGCTTCCCTGATACCTTCCCTATTCATTAAAACCCCACACTTGATTCTACCATCTTTGCTTGCTATCATCCAATACACCTCTCTTCCCCTCTGTGGCCAAATTTTCGTGAGAAAGCTGCCTAGAGCAGACTTCAGAAAAACCTGGAAAGACTTATATGAACTGATGCTGAGTGAAGTGAGCAGAAGCAGGAGAACATTGTACACAATCACAACCACACAGTACAATGACTCACTTTGATAGGCTTGGCTCTTCTCAGCAACACAAGGATCTAAGACAATTCCAAAAGACTCACAATGGAAAATGTTCTCCACATCCAGAGAAAGAACTATGGAGTCTGAATGCAGATCAAAGAATACTATTTGCTCTCTTTTTTTTGGGGGGGGGTTTGTTTTGTTTCTTCTTTCTCATGGTTCCCCCCATTGGTTCTAATTTTTCTTTACAACACGACTAATGTGAAAATAAAAAAAAAAAGAAAAGAAACCTGTCTAGAAACAGGTGTCTCCCTCTTCTTTTTTCTCTCTTCTTCTCTGCAAACTTCCAAACGAATCATTCAACTGAAAGTCCTCTCTCCAAAGTTACCAATGATCCCTCAATTGCCAAGTCTAATGGCCTTTCCTTGGTCCTTACCCTTGACCCCTCCACAGCCTTTGACACTGTTGATCCTTCTCCTTAACGGTAACTTCTCATTGTTATCTTCCAGTTCTCCTTCTACCTGTTTGAATACCCTTCTCATTCTCTTGTGCTGTATCTTCATCCTGTTACTAAGCTCATAGGAGGTACTTAATAAAGGCATGTTGACTTGACCTGAGAGGGCATTATGGGATAAATTAAAAATAGCAAGTACAGTTTTTCACTTAGCCAAGACTACATTAAAACTGGCAGGCCTGGCCATATCCCAGAATCCTCACCTAAAAGCCTATTTCATGTGATAGCAAGGGTCCATATGGAAATAAAAGTAATAGAAATAAATCATATTTTTCATGGCAAAATCTAAACCCAACCCAGAAATTCCAATATGATAATATTTCTGATCAATAGTGGAAAACCTAACATACTCCTTCAATAATTTTCTGAAGGGACTTCAGATGTTTCCTTAAATCACAGTTCAATCTCCCTGACTTTTCTAGGCTTCTTGGCAGTCTACATTATTGCCATCAAAACAGAAACTCTTCATCCCTTATTATTGAAAAAATGGTTCTTGGATCAGTGAAGAGATTCTAGAGCCTCTTAAAAAAAAATCAAGGGGCAGCTAGGTGGCACAGTGAATAGAGTTCTGGCCTTGCAGTCATGAGGACCTGAGTTCAAATCTAGCTGTGTGACTCTGGGCAAGTCACTTAACCCTGATCGCCTCACCAAAAAAAAAAAAAACCCAAAAAAAACAAATCATGAGACAATTATTTCTTAACTCATATACCACACTTTGTTCAACTATTCCCCAATTGAAGGGCGTCCCCTTAGTTTCCAGCTTCTTTCTACTGTAAAGAGAGGTGCTATAAATATTGTTATACATGAAACCTTTTCTTCTTTCTTTGATATCATTGGTGTACGGTCCTAGTGGTGGTATTACTAAGCATGCACAAACTTAGTGGCTTTTGGGGTATAGTTTCAAATTGCTTTTCAGAATGACTATACTAGTTGGCAACTATACCAACCTATACCAATTTGCACTAGCCTCCCACAATTAACATTTCCCTTTCTGCTCTAGAACTATGACCTTGTTATTACCAGCACTGATAAAAACTAACAGCCACCCTTCCCTAGAGCTAATCTTTCTACTCCCATGTTAGGCCAGGCTCCAGCATATACCAACTCAGCCCTACAGGTCCTCATCTTTATTCATGCCATGGCTTCACCTAGAATGCCCTCAGCCAACACAGCCCTTGACAGTTTATTTTATCTCTTACAAGTACCATCTCCCTCTTCAAACTGCTGTTTGACTTTGCCCTTACTTACTTGTGAACGTCTTTATTCCTCAC